CGTACCCTTTGACGTCAGTGTTTTAACTGACTGGAGAGGCTAGGAATCCTGCTCAGTAATAATCAGGCCCAACACTGCCATCCGTACCCTTTGACGTCAGTGTTTTAACTGACTGGAGAGGCTAGGAATCCTGCTCAGTAATAATCAGGCCCAACACTGCCATCCGTACCCTTTGACGTCAGTGTTTTAACTGACTGGAGAGGCTAGGAATCCTGCTCAGTAATAATCAGGCCCAACACTGCCATCCGTACCCTTTGATGTCAGTGTTTTAACTGACTGGAGAGGCTAGGAATCCTGCTCAGTAATAATCAGGCCCAACACTGCCATCCGTACCCTTTGACGTCAGTGTTTTGACTGGAAACAAGTAATTATTAGTGAGAATAAACTACTTATCTGTAGGTCACATGACAGTATGTTATATAAACTATAGTATACTTTTCACTTAAACAGATCTTGTTAAGTAGTCATTTTCTCAAGCTGAAGTCTTCTGTTAAGTTGGATTTCCAGCGGCTTATAACTTTAAAATTCGGGTTTCGATACTTGGTGTTGTCACAGCACAGATATCCCATTATTTAGCTTTGCGCCTAACAATAAACAAACTCTTACCTGGAACCGGGTTCTTGCGAATAACACGGATAGATCATGATGACTGTCAGTGACTAAAGAGACGGCTTCTTCTAAGGTGTTGACATCATGACCATTGATCTAAAGAAGAAACATCTTTTGAAAATTTCACAATGAACAGAAGTGTCTGTTTACAGATACTAGCCGTCAAACAGAACAATACAGGAAAAGATAACTTGAAAATGGATTATAAGCTCACTTTTCGTTATTCGTATTGAGCGGTATGGACTTTTAACGTTGCAGAATGTTATCCATAAAACAACGTACGTACCCGTAACACAACATGGGTATGCATAAGACAATATGAGTGCCAATAGGACAACGTGGGTATACATAAAACAACATACGTATCCATAATACAACATGGGTACACATAAGACAACATGAATACCCATAACACAACATGGGTATACATAAGACAATTTGAGTACCCATAGGACAACGTGAGTAAACATAACACAACATGAGAACCCAAAGGACACCGTGTGTATACATAAAACCCAGTGTTCGCATACACGAAAATCTTACCCAGATTCTGCAGTTTTCAGAAATAAATGTTGTAAAGACGAATCTTAAGCATAATTTATTTTACAATTTGTTTTGTCAGTATCAGATGACAGAATAAAAAATATGAAGAAGTAAATGACTTACAGAGAACAAACATTGCATATGCACGATAAATCAGCACATATGTGCAAATAAGGATTATTGAAATTCGTACTGTTCCATTACGAGAACAGTGTTCTAATAACGTCGTTGCTCATGTTGTTATTGGTAGTAGACTAAGAAATTGTGTTTCTTCAAGCATTCAAACATCGATATATGAACTGATTTCGGATGTTTTGTATTGGCCTTGTTTATGGACTTTGATGCAAACATAGTTTTACAAGAACAGTATGATATCTTGGATAATAAAATAATCTCAACACGATGAAAACAAGGGCGTCAACATATTAAACATGATCAGCATCATATTGGAAACAAGTACGTTAACATGTTAAACATAATCAGCATCATAACAAAACAAGTACGTTAACATGTTAAACATGATAAGCATCATAACAGAAACAAGTTTAACATGTTGATGTACTTGTTTCTGTTATGATGCTGATCATGTTTAACATGTTGACGTAATTGTTTCTGTTATGATGCTGATCATGTTTAACATGTTGACGTACATGTCAGACGTGCCAATCACTTACTCCTTCCGTATTATGTCAGAAGTATCAATCACTTACTCCTTCCGTATTATGTCAGAAGTATCAATCACTTACCCCTTCCGTAACCTTTCACATATGTCAATCATTTACTCCTTCCGTAACCTTTTAGATGTGTCAATCATTTACTCCTTCCGTAACCTTTCAGACGTGTCAATTATTTACTCCTTCCGTATCATGTCAGACATGTTAATGACTTACTCCTTCCGTAACCTTTAAGACGAGTCAATCACTTACTCCTTCCGTAACCTTTTAGACGTGTCAATTATTTACTCCTTCCGTATCATGTCAGACATGTTAATGACTTACTCCTTCC